CACATCAAACCAACAAATGCAATTAGCCGAACCAATCAGTTTAGTGTTTTTGAAAAAAACAATGGACCAATTATATATATAGTTCTTGCCAACTGGGCGGAGCCAAGATGGAATGATGAAGCCACGCAATGAGATCTGAAACCAAGAAGAAAGTCAGAGGACCGAAGAGTTATCCCCGGGTAGGTACTTCGACGCTCAAGTTAGTAGAAAGCAGTAGGTGGTCGAACCGAGCAATTGGAGAGTAGTGCTGGTCCGAGTAGGGTAATGGTATGGGAGTTAAGAGTTGGCCCCCTTACCTTGAGCGAGAGATATTTTTTACAGCCAAAGATCAGTGTCCTGGTCGGATGAGGATTCCAAGATTGTCGGGATGAGGTTAACCGCCGAGGTCTTTGGGATAAGACCTAATCCTAAGCGGAGTTGTCCCCATCCACTCTCCTGTCTTGGTCGCGCTTATCCTCATGACGTGGCGCCGACGTGGTTGAAAGGATAAGGTGGGGCCATGGAGGTGACACGGTGCTCACGTGGCCGAAGAGTTAAGCTAGGCCACGGAGATGACACGGTGCTGACGTGGCCGAGGAGATAAGGCGGCCACGTGGCATTCAGAGCTAGCTCAACCATAACCCGAACACTACTCCCCCAGTTCTGAAGTCGAGGAGTGAAGTGCTCGGCCAAAGTGAAGCGTAGAAGAGTACTTCGGTCCTAGGTTGAGGAACTTGAAGTTGATTTTGGTTGAACCGGCTGATTCAATGCTGGTCCAGTCCCTGAGATGGGTTGTCAAAGGCATCATTTCGCTTCCCGAGATTGTACACGTGTGGAGAGCAGTCGCGTCGATTGGCCTCCCGAGCTTGTTAGAGTGGCGTTTGATCTACGTCGTTGATCTCTCTTTGATTTGGAGTGCTGGGAGCCCTATAAAAGTAGGTAAAGAGCATTTCCCCTTTGTCATTTGCAAAAGAAGTCACCTGGAGAGCTCGGCGAGGTGTAGTTTTCAATGCTCAGTGTTTACTTCAATTCTACAGCTTTCCGTTCTTCGTGCTAGGTAAGATGTCTTCGTCATCCTTTCGTTCTTCTTCCACTTCTTCTGCTTTTTCCTTTGATTACTTTGCTTCTTGTTCTGAGTCCAAGCCGGGGTCTTTCACCAAGGCTGTCGTGCTCGATGTTCTTTAGGCCAAGGGTTGAGAGGCTAAGGCTGAAGACTTCGATGAGGTAGATTATTAGAGGGTTGCCGTGGCGGGACCGTCATCTGTGGAGGTCAAGCTTCTTGCGCAGGCTAGCCGCCAATTTGGGACCATCCCTTGTTGTCTGAACCCTAGGGATATGGCTCGGATCTGAGCTTTATACTACATTCTAGAGGATTACGAGCTTAGGTGTCTGAGGGCTGGTGAGAGACCCATAGATGCTTGGCCAAGCGAGCTTTGTGTGTATGAAAAGAGTCTAGAGTCTGGGATTAGGTACCAATTGCACGAGGGAGTAGTTGAAGTGTTTGAGTGGTACTAAGTACTACCAGTGCAGCTGATGCCAAACTCCTTTAGGTTCCTGATTGGTCTGATGACTTATTGTTTTGTCCACGAAGTCGAGATTACTTTGGGAATGGTTTCCTACTTTCTCCAACTGAAACACCACCAGCAGGGATTCTACTACTTCTCGGCAAGGCAATGCATTAAAGTGCTTGTCGGGGCCTCGTCCTCAGTGAAGCACTGAAAAGAGAAATTCTTCTTTGTGCGTTTCCCTGGAGGTTCACCCCTTCCGCCCACGCTCCAGGTGTTGAGGACTAAGGTGTTGCAACCCGCGTTGGCTCGGCATACCGAGGAGGAGAGGGCGGCTATAGGCATGATTGAAGAGGTCAACGTGATGCACTACACGTCCTTCTCGATGTTGATCCACACCAGGATGATGAGCAGGGAGGCCAATCCGTTCCATTGCTAATTATGAAGGTTGAAAACGTAATTCGATTAATGCTTTTCACCTCATTTAATCCCCTTTCATTAACTCTTTACTCTTGTATTTATTGTATTAACTCCCATTCTCTCTTATTAAATCCTATAGTTAAGTTAATTTTTCACTAATAAATGCTACTAATTAGATCTATGTCCAATACTTTTAAAAATATAAACCCATATATTTTAAAACTTACTCAAAAACAAAATCATTCTTTATCCAAGTGATGACTAAGCAATTCAACTATTCAAAATGTAATTGGCCAACCGATGAAGTCATAGTTAGATAATAAAACTTTTAAATAGAAATAAATATAGAAAATTACAAAAATGTACAGAAAATAAACACATTTATGATATTTTTTATTAATCGAATAAAAAAAGTGTAATAAACAAGAATTATTTTTATTGATGATGAAAATAAAATACATAATCTAAAACTAACAAAAAAAGAAATTATTTTCCTATTTGGTAGAGATCAATAGTTCAACTTTTGGGTCAAATATGTCAACCTTTAATGTCATAATTAAATAATAAAAATTAATAAAATATAAAAAACAAACAAAAATAAAAATACATAAATTTTATAAAAAACATTTGGGCACATGTATAATATCTTATATTTAACATATTAAACAAAAAATAAGTATAAATAATAGTATTATTTTTACATACATGGAACTTTCTTTTGAGGAAAATATTAATAAAATTGTGGAACTTTTTTTTGAGTAAAATATCCATTTTTTTAATTTAATCCTTATTTAATTGTGAGGTTTAAAATATAGTTTAAACTATAATTTTCACCTCATTCAATTCCCCTCTTTAAAGCTTACATTTTCTTTTTTTTATAAATAAACAAAAAAGTATACACTAAGAAGATAAAACATTACAAAGAGAATAGTCCAGCCAAATAGGTAGGTCTACCAATGATACCCAAAACTTTGTAGTCCAATATGAGGTGCATATGTAATCAGATCCAGATTTTGCAGTCTACATCCAATTAATTGTGAAAAATAAAAAATAAAAAAAATAAAAAATACATGAATGTTATAGAAAAATTTGGATATATTATTTCTATTATTATCATCATCTAAAATTGCCATGTGCAAAGCATGTGCACACGTTTACTAGTATATATATATTGCATATTTTGGGGGGTAAAAGAGCCTTTACATTTTACACATGTAAGAGCATTTTTTGGGGTATTTTGGTCAATAAGATTATAATTTGTTGGCAACCAAACACTAGCTTTGTTGTTGACAGTTATTGTTACATGGACCATCCTTCAAAGTGTACAAGGTGGGGTATGTGTTTTAATTTAGTACTAGCCAATTGCCACCCCCTTGGGCAACCACACCCATTATTTTGTTTGGGATCCATTACGAGTACTGATGAATTAGGTTAATTTCCCTTGCTTGTACATAATTTTTTATTTAATTTAGGAGATTCAATCAAGTTTAATTTATAATTAATCTCCCGTTTTATCTAAAAGAGAACCACATAAGTTAATGAAGTGAAAATTTTTTATCATAAATCCTTTATTTGAATTAAGAAATAAAATAAAAAAGGTTGGTCACTACAGGTGTGGTCCCACATCATCTGGAAGTGTGGAGTACAAATACATACAAAATGCAAGATTTTAAACTCTACAAATTTGTATTTATACTCCTTCCGGATTGAGCCATAGGCTTAATTTGGAAGGAGTACAAATGCAAATATGTAGTGTTTTGCACTCTACATATTTGCATTTGTACTCTTTCCAAACTGAACCTTAGGGAATGGAGGTAATTACTCTCTCTTTTTTCGTGAGGGAGATGGACTGTCGGGTGCACTCTGTGGGGAGTCCATCCGAACTTCAAATGTCTTGGGCTTATTGATACATATCTATGTATCCATGTATTAGACTTGCTACCAAAAGTCTAAAACTCTAAATTGTTCACTCTCGACCAAAAAAATGTAGGGTGACCTTGGATGATTCGTTTATGGGCTCATATCTTCTACTAACAAGTTGTTCCCACATCTCTACCCACGAGATATTACAGCTCTGCATTGGGAATATCTCCGTTGCCATTCTTGGGGAGATGTTTCCAATACACAGAGGTAGTAGTCTGTGGGTAGGGATATAGGAACAACTTGTGGGTAGCAGATCCCAAGCACCTGTTTACTAGCAACCTGTCACTTGTTTTGAATAGTCAAAATTTGTTTGTTAGGCTGTGTTTGGTTGCAGTGCAAATTTATTTGCATTGATGCAAAACTATAACAGTGCAAATGTTTTGGGTGTAAATTTTGATTTATTTTTGTTTCAAATTTTGCCTTACTTTGTTTGATTGCAATATAAATGAAGTAAAATAAAACTTAAAACAGAATAAAATAAAATCCAAAATAAAACTAAGCCAGATTTTACTTTTTTTTTTATTTACACTCCCATACATTTGTACTAATACAAATAAAATTACACTGCAACCAAACACAGCCTTAGGAGCATTCAGTTTGGGTCTGGTCATGGTTGATCCGATCGTGGTGATTCAGTGGGGTTAGCGTTAGATTTGGATATATTATGTAAAATGTAGACTGTGTCTGGTCCAGTTCTGTTCCAAACCTACGAATTATTGGACCAGATCAGTTTTAGACTTTTAGTTCCCCCGTCACCGTTGATATCACTTGGTAACACATTGATGTTGGTAGATATTTTTAATATAAATTCTTGTGCACTCGTCTTAAAAGCTGAGGCGCATAAGAAGTAAGAAAGTATGATAATGATAAAGCAAGAAAAGAAAAATTAAGAAGAACGTTTTTGTAAGAAAAAAAAAATGAACGTTAAAGAATGTCGAAGGAATCAGCAATAACATCGGATTGTGATGATTGCTATCCACCATTTATTCCAATCTAACGGATGTTTCTCACGTTAGACTGTTAGAGTTAGACCACCAGTAATTGAGAGCCCCGAAGCATTTATTTATTTTATTTTATTTTTTATACTTTATATATAACACGCGGTTTTCTTGACGTTTGTAGAATGCTATCCTGCGCGGGACCTGGTCTGCGTCCACCTACTTCAGGAGAGAGCAAAAGGGCTTAGGCTAGCCGCTAGCGTGCGCCAAATCAAAATATTTTTGTCAAATCAAATGGCAGATAACGCGTCTTTTGAAGATTTCAAGTTCAACCATTTGTGGATGAATCATCTTCACAAGCAAAGGCAGATTAGGATTTCAAGTTCTTCTCCTTCCCCGAGAGAGAGAGAGAGATATTCAGGAGAGATGATGATCAGACCAATAATTAAATAAAAAACGCAGAAACTAATGCGTGGTCACAATGGAAAGAGACAGTCTGACAGAGAGAAGAATATGAATTCTCGCTACTTCAGAGAATCAGAGGTGCAAGGATCAACTGCAACAGATTGAATCGTCTATAAAAGCCAATCTCTCGCATCCGATTTTTCTTTGTTGACCCCATCTCCTTCAAAAGCCAACTACTCTTCCGTGCATTCCCTAGTAATTACTTTCCGTTACTCCATCAACAATAACCCAAGTAGAAGAAGAAAGAATAAGAAGAAATCTTGGACTTCGACAGACGTTCACGATGATGACGATAGAGGGAACGATGGATAGGGCTGTATTGGACGATATCATACGAAGACTTCTCGAAGGCAGAGGAGGGAAACAAGTCCAGTTATCTGAGGTTGAGATCCGGCAGCTCTGTGTCAACGCCAGACACGTCTTCATCTCTCAGCCTAATCTCCTTCAGTTGCATGCTCCCATCAAGATTTGCGGTTTGTTATTGTCTCTTGTTTCTGTTCCTTTCCTTTCTATTTGGGGAATTCGTGGCAGAATTCAATTTGATCTCTTTGCTTCTTTTATCATTTTTAGTTGCTTTTTTTTTTTACTTTTGAGAATTAAAGGTAACTGGTTTTATTTATCTATCAATAATTGTCTTAAAAACTAGTCCGGATAAGAGTAGATATTTATGGTGGTGGATATAATTTAAACATAGATTTCTTTAAGCCTTTCCCCCAATTTATATTCTTCGGGAAATCAATTTATGTATAGGGCTGCGATGGGGGCTTTGAACAAATTGGGTAAATTTAAGTGACATGCATCCTCAATTCTCCCGTGTTCGTTGGATCAATGAGGCATCTGTCAATGTCAAGGGGTTTCCTGGCTCTTGAGGCGAAGGTTGTTGAATTGGAACTCTGGAAGTGGGTTTGCGTTGTTGGAGATATCATATTGCCAAGTTAGCTGTGTTTGTAACTGGGGCGTTGGGTTGAGTCTGTGTAGAATATGGTGAAGGTTTCTTCCTTTATTTTATTTTATTTGGGTGTGAGCGTATGCACGTACACGGAGAGAGCATTGCTTCTGTCTCCATTACAGCAATGAAGTAGTGGTTATACAGCCAATCATGAATGACCAAATCTATTATAGTGGAATGGTCAAGAACTAGTATGGCGTTCAGTTACATTGTGCTTTTGAAGAGAGCTTTGATCTCTAATATTTTGGCCATATTAATATCTGTTTGACTGTTTATATGAGATAAGAGGGAAAATGGTCTGATTGGTCTCTAAGACCAATCTGCAATTTCCAAAAGAACCCAGATCGATAGTGGCAGGTTTATAAAACTTCCTTTTTAATTTCATTGTCTCCATGCATATATATTATTTTGAAGTCTTTTAACTTTTGAGTGAGGTAAGGGACAAGGGAGAGTGTTATTTCACCCCAGGTCTTAAACAGGACCTTCAACTTGACCTGGGGCAGGGATAAGTGAGAATGCTGTTTGACCCCTTATTGGGTTAAAGGTATTTTACCTTAAATAGGAGTCTTAAATTGCCTATCGAAAGACAGGAGTTTTAATTCTTTTTAGTTCATGCCATATATACCTTAGATCAGGACAAACCATTTTACAGTACCCACCTAGGAAACTGCCTATACAAAGAATCCGCATGATTGAATCATTTTTTCCCATCTGATTCTTGGTGTAGTTTTACAGTTAGTTATATAGAGGATATTTAGTAGGTCATAATCATTTAATCAGTTCGATTTTTGGCCCAAATAATCTCTTGGGTGGATCCTTTCAATGTTAGATTCTGATCATCTGTTAAATATGTAATTACATGGTTTAGTGCTTGAGCTGAAAGTCATTTCTTAGCCTGAGCTTCTTGCAACATTACTCCTATCTATATTTGAAAATCCCTTGTAAATTACCCACACAAATTGTAATAAACTGAACTGACCTGCAAACTGGTTCTTAATGAAAATTCTTAATGAACCAGTTCATTATTCACTGGGTCGTGTAGTGTTTAAGGTAAATATCATCTGGACATTGTTTGAATGCTTGAAATGGTGCTTGACTACCTTGGCCTTTCTTGCAAGATCACCAAGTCTATGCCGTTGGTCTTCTAAGATTTTTCTTTTTATTTGTTGTTGGAGCAACCCTGAGGCAAAGGATGGACTGGCTTGTGGGTCTATTTGATGGATTCATGTCACCATTCTAGACTTATCCCTTGTACTTCATTTAATAACATTTGTTTTGTTAAAAAGATAATTTTTCTAGTAAGTTTTTGAATTTCTAATGATGTGAATGATGTGAAGAATAAACATACTGAAAAACATTTTTATAGATTAAAAGGAAAGAGGAAAACCAACAATGGAGGATCTTGACCAAGGTAATGAATATGTTAAGAGATAGTCATTGCAGTCCTGTCATTGTATTTAGAACATTAGTGAGTGAAGAAATGAATTACACTTGAGATTATTCCAACTGCTCAAGTTTACAACATAATGGGCCAAATACAAGCTTCAAAATTTTCTTAGCATGGTTATGAAAAAAAAACACATTAATGAAAGTTGATAACAAATGAAATGGTATAGGAATGAGAGAGGGATGGTGCACAGAATAAGACACCACAAAATATCTAAATGCTATGTCCCAGTTGAATGTGCATAATTTCATGATTGGGTAACTGAGAACTTAATGTGATTACAGCAACTTTCTTGACCTTTTGCAAATGGATTAGGGTTCTTAGTGCACCTAAGAGTTTTTGGCTTGTTTAGGGTGGTCTTTGCCTAGGTAACTAGAGATTAAACCAAAGAGACATTATTCTAAGGTCATATTTCGACTTGTATCATATTCCACTTTCCACCAAGAAGCACACCTTAAGTGGTCCTCTCAACCATAACATGTATGTACCTTTCTGCTGCTTCTTCCTATTGCAAGCTATTGAGTTTGCTAGCCATTTGGGATGTTCATTATTTATCAGAGAAATTGAACTCAAAACTAGCATATTATGTGTAGTAGCATGCAAACATGGAGATACTAGCTTCATGAATAATAGTAGCAATGATGGTTTATGCATGTACAAACATATTAGGTATAATATCTTTGCTATATTCCTGCATTTCATTACACTTCGTCTCTCTAATACTGCATACCATTCATAGGTGATATACATGGTCAATACCAAGACCTTTTGAGGCTTTTTGATTATGGTGGCTTTCCTCCTGCTTCAACGTATCTTTTTCTTGGGGATTATGTTGATAGAGGCAAGAAAAGCTTGGAGACAATATGTTTGCTTCTGGCATATAAATTAAGGTATCCTGACAAAATCCATCTCTTGAGGGGAAACCACGAAGATGCAAAAATCAATAGGATCTATGGTTTCTATGATGAGTGTAAACGAAGGTTTAATGTACGACTCTGGAAGATATTCACCGATTGCTTTAATTGTTTGCCTGTGGCTGCACTTATTGATGAAAAGATTTTGTGCATGCATGGGGGTCTCTCACCAGAATTACATAATGTCAATCAAATAAATGAAATCTCAAGACCCACAGAGATTCCAGATAATGGTCTCCTTTGTGATTTGCTATGGTCTGATCCTGATCCAAGAATAGAGGGATGGTCAGAAAGTGATCGAGGTGTGTCATGTACCTTTGGAGCTGATAGGGTTGTTGAATTTTTGGAAAAGAATGACATTGACCTCATATGCCGGGGCCATCAGGTAAGCAACCTTTTCTTTTTTTGGATCAATCACAACCTTCTATTAATCTCCTAATCTTTGCTCTATTCTTGGAAAACATAAGATTCTCCTTGAGCAGGCTGTACATATGATTTTCCAATTGTATAACTACACAAAACACTGCCAAATGGTCTCACTTAGGATGTCTCCTGTGTCACAAGATCAATTGAAACAATAGCAGAAGATCAATAGAAACCATAAAATCTTTCCAAACCTTTTTCCAATTTTCTTGCCATTTCATTGCATTCTTTCTAGCTGTTCAAAAAGAATGTGATATCTTGATGACATGAGCATCATACTTTTCCCTTTTTGGTCATAGGAGGATACACATCCAATGCTGATTCTTAGCATGCCTCCTAAATGAAGAATGTAAGCTACACAACATGTGGATAACATTTACCAAATAAGGACTAATTCTTTTTTCCTATTTTTTCCTTAATAACCTGCAGGTGGTAGAGGATGGATATGAATTCTTTGCTAAACGGAAATTGGTTACCATATTTTCAGCTCCAAACTATGGTGGTGAGTTTGATAATGCAGGTGCTCTATTGAGTGTTGATGAAGAGTTGATGTGTTCTTTTGAGATATTAAAACCGTTTGAATATATACTAGCACCAAGCAGTTCTAACAAATCAGGAGTCACTGCTAGGAAGGTACACCATTTGACTTCATTTCTAATACTTGATCAACTATATTCTGTGATGCAAAATGTTTTATTGTTGGCTGCTTTTTTTTTCCGTATTCATCTAAAATTCTGATTTGTACATGTTACTTCTTTGGCTAACAGTTACCTAAAGGTGGAAAAGTTTGAAAATTGATATTCCACATCAGAGTTCTTTCGGTTAAATTGGGGGTTGAGGGTTTAAATGGTTTTGGATCTAAACAAGCCTTACTACCCATCAAGCGGCAACCAGAATTTGTAATGAGATTGAAGCTTGTCAATAGGTGAACTTCATTGGAGTGTCATACAATTTGTAAATTTACCATGCACAGAATCATCTGTACAGGAACTGAGAGTTTTAGCCGGATTACCTTTACAAAAGAGTATGCCCAAATTAAATTTATATTTGCTCAATTTTCTTGATCTGCTATTACTATCCAGCTTGCGGGTACAGATTTGATGCCAAATTCTGCATGACTCCTTGGTCATTTGGTTTGAGAAGAAGCATAGTAACTCCATGCTCGCTGCCCCCCACCTTGATTAGGGTTCTGTTGGTTGCGTTCTGGATGCTATGTTGCAACACTATTCATGAATCCTTCCTTGCAGTAATTGTAGATGCCTTGTTTACAGGTTGTACCAGCATACGACTCTGTCGAGAAATTTGAACCAACATGTGTAAGTCAGCTCTTTTTAATTGAATTATTAATGTAAAAGTTCATGTTGCCAGTAGATGCATGGCTTCAACAGACCATAGTCCAGAACTTGCTTGACTCTATCCTGATCAACCAATTATAGCCATAATCACAAACTAGAAATACAATGAGTAAACTGAGTGGACTTTAATATCTTTTTCACCAAACACTGGCATGCTCAAAAATTACATAATCTAATCCTTGTTTTTCCGTAAAGATCAGCTTGTGGGCTTCATTTAAAAATCCCCTCCCAATGCAGAGATTTCTTTTTCTCCAAATACAGAGCTGGGATGAAGTAGGTCATACCTGATGGGAAATATAAACGATCGATCACACGGTGCAATGGAGTGGGTTGATGCAAGGAGTAATAATCCATCAAAAGAAATGTTGCTGATAGCAAAATTTCGATATTGTAGCTTGTAGGGTATCGTTGAGGTAACAACTTACAAAGAAAATTTTCAAATATTGACCTGGACTTGCCCTAATCCATCCTCTTGATTTAGTTTTCTATTTAATGATGAAGCTGAATCCCTTATTCCCCCTTGGAAGAAACTATAATTCTTAGTTGGCATGAATCAACCGTCTGTCTTTCCCCCATTGTAACTTGTTAAGATAGCAATTGGGGAGAAATATAAGCCCTCTGCCTTTAAAATCCCCGTAATTTTTATTTGCATCCCACTTATATTTTGGCCCATCTATCCATATTTATTAGTCCTCGGCGTCTTACCAGTGTCAAAAAGTGGGTATTAAGGCTGGGGGTATTTTAAGGGACAGGTGTAAAAAAAAAAAATTCAAGTCAAAAAGTGGGTATTAAGGCTGGGGGTATGTTAAGGAACAGGTGCAAAAAAAAATTTAAGTGCTCATTTAATATGCTTATAACGTCATGCCTACCTGATCCGAACTACTTTATTACATGCCCACCCGCCATCCATATAAATAAGGGAAATTGTCTAAAACTCACCATGAGTTTTCAGCATTTCTCTTAAATTTACCATAACTTTTCAAAATGTCTAAAACTCACTATGTCACTAACTCGACGTTAAACAGACTAACGGGTGTTAATATATTACTATTTTAACCTTCATAGCAAAATATAAAATATATACAAAATAAATTAACGGGTGTTAATATATTACCATTTTAATATTTAGACATGAAAAAAAGGAAAAAGTTCAAAAAATATTTTCAAATATAAAATACGTAAAAACATAGAAATTGTAAAAAATATAAAAAATATAGAAATTACAAAAATATAAAAAATTATAGAAATTATAAAAATTGAAAAACAAAATCAGAAAATAAAAGTTGTAGAAAAAACACCAAAAATTATAAAAAAACACAGAAATTATAAATAAATAACAAAAAATGCAGGAAAATTTATAGATTGTAGAAAATAGAAAAATGTAAAAAAAAAAAGAAATTACAAAAAACATTGGAAATTATAACAAAAGACCAAAAAAACAAGAAAATTGAAAACTAAAAAAGACCATTTTCCTCTAACTCACCACTCAAGGGTAATTTGCTCATGAAAATTGTTATTTATAATGACATGGACACCATTGTTAAGAAGCATTAATGGTGCACTAACGGAAGGTGAGTTTTGGAAAATAAAAACTTACTTAGATGGTGAGTTCTGTACATTTTGAAAAGTTGTGGTGAGTTTAAGAGAAATGTTGAAAACTCATGATGAGTTTTAGACAATTTCCCTATAAATAATGATAGTTTTAACAGAAAAGTCTTTGCGCCCCTCCCCCCCCCCCCCCCCCCCCCCCGCCTTTATATTTGACTCTACCCCTAATTAGATGCAAAGTTTTTGTTTGTAGGAGATCCCATTGCATGAACAATGACAAGGTCAATGTCCTTAGCCCAAAAATTAAATTTGTTAGATTGAATCCCACGAATCAGATAACCCAGATTTTCTTGTTCTGTTCTAAACCTTCTTATCATTCATGATCTCATTGTACATGATTCTCTTCAATTGTAAGAATTCTGATGAAAACATAGATCGAGTCTCGCGAAGAATAGACTAATCAGTAAAGAAAGATTCAAAATATCGATACGCTCGATATGCCAATAGGGGCGTATCGGGAAAATCGATACCCTTTTTTTTACTTTTTTTTTTTATTTTTTTTGAAACTGGTTCAGGGCGGCCGGTTTAGGTCTCCTCCACCCCTTGAACTGGTCAGACCCCCGATACACCCACTATAGGGGCGTATCGGAGGGGTCCCGGAATGATACATATTGGCCGATACCAGCCGATACGTGTTGATACTTTGAACCTTGCAGTAAAGTAAAATGTTTCATTTGTCTTTCAGAAACCAACCAAAATCAAAACTCAATAAAATTTAGGGTAAAATACAAAAACCTCCCCTAGACTTTTAAAGAATTTGACAAAAACCTCCATTCCATCACTAACCCAAACAGAAAATGTTAAACCGGTGCATCAATTTTTTTGAAATGTTCATTTTACCCTTTTGTAAGCTAGTTTATATACTTTTACTGAAATACCTCCATTTGAAAAGCGACCAAAAAACTCCCTTTGACCTATTTATCCTTTTCTAATCCCTAAACTCAACTGTACGAGGAATGCAACTCTTTGATCCTTCATCCAAACTCTATCAATTCAAGAAAAGAGTAATCCTTGTCATTTTCTTCCTCCTCTTTCAATGTCCCTTCAAACTCCATCAACTCAAGAAGAGGCAACCGTTGATTCTTTCACTGCTGAATCCGTCTCTCTCTCTCTCTCTCTAGCTCACTAGCTTGGTCTCTCGATTGAACAAAACATGGCAGGAGCTTCATCGAAGTTTACTCTGAGAGCAATAAAGAGGGTCAAAGTGGCGAAAAGTACTATGAAACGTGCCAAGGATGAAAGCGCTTTCACTAGATGCTATGGTTCATCTTTTCAATCAGTAGTTCATCTATTATTTAATTGTTCTGTTCGTCTGAGATTTTTGGGCTATCATAATGTCTATTTGTTAAGCCTTGCGATTTGTTTATGCACATCTTCATCTATTGTTTCTCGGTTTCTGGGAGGAAGTCTGTGTAGTATTTTGATTCAATGCGGATTTGTTTCTAATGTCACTAAATTGTTACTAGCACTAATCAAGTACTAGGCTTGAGGCAGCTTCTTAATTTTTACTAGTTAATGATGGGAGTTGGGTTTCTGTTGATTTTTAGTGAAGAAGGTAATAAGGATGTCCCCATGATGCTTATCGATATGCATAGTTGTAGACCTGAAATTTTGTTGCTTGCCAAGTTCAGCAGTTTCAAACCCAAACCTCCACTAAACTTTGGAATCTTACTTGTGATTTGATTGTTTACAAGCTCCAGAAATCTGATTTTGTTAGTGTCTAAAAGCATTGATAGTGGCCCATAGAGTTGATTTGAGTGGAGATCAATAGAGGAAAGCGCATATGGTAATGCAATTTCTAGAATGTTCAACCTAAACTGATTGTATGCGAGCTTAATCTTCTGTAAACTTGACATGTTTGTGAGGAAATTTGAAAACCCACCTTGAAGAAAATTGTTAGAGAGGTCAATGGAATTCAAAGAAACCCCATTGTCCCAAACATAGAATGTTGCTTCTTTACTTGACCGGAGTAAACTTCAACGGTGAAAGAGTCAACGACTGCCTCTTCTTGAGTCAATGGAGTGAAGGGACATTGAAAGAGGAGGAAAAAAATGACATGCTTTTTAGAATTACTTTTTCTGGAACCGATAGATTTTGGATGAAAGATCAAAGAGCTGCATTCCTCGTACGATTGAGTTCAGGGATTAGAAAAGGATAGAAATGTCAAAGGGAGTTTTTTGGTCGATTTTCAAATGGTGGTATTTCAGTAAAAGTATATTAACTTACAAAAGGGTAAAATGGATATTTCAAAAAAAATGATGCACAGGTTTAACGTTTTTCCGTACAAAAGGGAGTTTTTTTCAAATTCTTTAAAAGTTTTGGAGAGGTTTTTTTATTAAAATGAAATTAAAGGAAAGAGTTTTATGATTGTTAGAAACTTCCGGGGAGGTTTTTTCAAATTCTTTAAAAGTTTCGGTCATTTAATAGCTTATCCATGGAGCTTACAACTTATTCAATTGGGCTTGCGCACAAAAACAACTTCCTCCAAGCATCTTTTGGATGGTTCAGTGCTAGCAACAAACCAACCTAAAATGGAGGTCTTCGTGACTCTGGTCCAGCAGGAATCTTCCGAATGAAATAGATTTATGCAACGGCTTCTGGCACTGCATGCATGAGTTGAAAATGCGGAAAGCTTTCAAGTCATGTTTAGTACAACACCGGAAAGCCAAAATAGATTTACATGATCCCAAAAGTCATTTCTTCTTCAAAGCTTCTCAATCAACGCAAAAGCCCTTACCAGTCAGTTATGAGTTATGACTTTATGTAAATGAACCAGGTTTGGAAGTTCTGACATACCAGAAAAATTTATAATCAATCAACCAGCATCATATAATGAATTTGGATTTGGTCCACCTGTTCGTTCAGTTGTTGGAGACCTCAGCTGGGCTACTAGTGGGCTTCACTTCACTCGACCTAAGTTGGGTTCAGTGAATTAAGCTTTCTTTGGAGCAGCAAGTTATCTTTACTCTCAAAGTCTCTAGAGTCTAGACCTGACAATCAAGTTCGGCCGGGGTCAAGGCATTTTTCAGGTCATTTGGGTCAGTCGAGTTTTGGGTTGGGCCGGCCAAGGCTATTCCCTAATCCTAAATATTTCAAGTTAGGCTTGACCCATGAATGCCCAAATTAAGGTTATTGATCAAGTGATCAAGTCAACAATTTGTTATAAAAAAAGTGAGTTTAATCATCAGGTTCAAACTATTTGAATGGTTCAACCATCTACGTCAACACTAATTTGAAAATAGATGACCCGTGACTCCACCTGATTCAACCCGAATAAAAAATTGATTCAACCCAAATTATTTTTTGATTCGGGCTGGGTTAAGCCACTTCCTATGGCCGGGCCATTAGGTAGGCCCCTAACCCACTTTTTGACCGACACTTTTATCAGGTCTACAAATCTCAACTAAGGGTGTAACTTGGGCAGGACCAATCCGGCCTTGAATTTTTCATGGGTTAGACTTGGGCCCAAAAGCTTGGACTTTTTAATTTTTCAACCTGGGCTCAGGCTACAAATCTCAACTAGGGGTGTAACTTGGGTTGACTAAAACCCAACCCAGTCCGCCCAATTTGCACCCCTATTCTCAAGCTCTTAACTCGCGAGGCAAGATTCTCATTTCTCAGCTCTCAAGCGGGGTCACCCATGACCCTGAACCCATCCTCCTTTCGGGCTTGCTTGCCCGAAACCAGTTGCCACAGGTTCATTGGTTCAATATTACATTTGTTGCAACTCGCTAGGGATGCAAACAGATCGGATCGGATTCAAATCCGGATATACCGAATTCAATTCGACATTATTCATGTCAGACCCGATCCAAATATCTAATCGGATCTGATAGGACTTGATTTAAATTTTAATCCTATTAATAAGGCGGGTCTTCGGATATGATCCAATCCGATTGGTTTTCTTTAAAAAATAATAAATTCTTAAAAGAAAAACAAAATAGTGTACACTAATTTAAGTAAAATAAAAACAAAAAATACAAGTATCTTTAATTATTTTCATCATATATACATGTTTTTATAAAAAATAAATAATATAACAAATTTATAAAAAAATAATATAAAAAATATATTTATAAATATATATATATATATATCTGATCGGATCCTATTATCGATCCGAATTCGACCGAATAGGGTCGGATATCGTTTTGCACCCCAACGACTCGCAACTCGCAACCCTAAATACTGGCTTGAGTTCCGTCCCTCCGTTCGTAGTCCCTTTGAAATTCTGTCTTTCAGGTTCTCACATTAGCCTCTGATTTCTCGGATTCCAGAATTTTGGCGGAAAAAGGTGAAGACAAGAAGAGACACTAAAACAAAGTCCTAGATTAATAGATAAATTGCAGAGATGAGCACAAGCGAGATTCCTCCTAACATGACCATCTACATCAACAATCTCAACGAAAAAATCAAACTCGAAGGTGATTGTTCGCCCCATTACTTCCTCCCTCTCCTTCTCTGTTTCACACACTCACACTCAAAATCACACACGCAGACAGGGACAGTTTTCCTTTCCCCTTTACTCTGTAAATATGTAATTGATCATGATAAACTTTATTATTTTTATTTTCTCTGAAGCTTTCACCATACAAGGAAGTTTTAGCTAACATGAAATTTCTATCCAACCCCCTGCCCTTGCCCCACTTTGCTTACATCATCTAAATTCGCACAAACTGTTTAAATTTCAGAGCTGAAGAAATCTCTATTGGCGGTTTTCTCTCAATTCGGGAAGATACTGGAGGTTTTAGCATTCAAGACTCTGAAACACAAAGGGCAAGCTTGGGTTGTTTTCGAGGATGTTTCTTCCGCCACCAACGCGCTCAGGCAAATGCAAGGTTTTCCGTTTTATGACAAGCCAATGGTACACCTTACTTAATTAGTGACATTGATGGTTAACTTAGATGAATCCATGATGCGCATCCAACGTGGAAACTGAGGAGTTTCGTGCCCTAGATTTTTTAGAGTCTTAAGTTTTGCAATGCGGGGACTTCTGACTGCTTTTGAGCTCTAATAGCATCTAGTGGAATTATCTCTAATATACCTACCACACTCCCTTTGTGGGATTCCTTGGAAGAAAAAAAGATTGTCAGGTCAGGTTTGTGGAGAGGGTGGGAAGAGTTTTTTCTGAGATGTGGAACTAATAAATTATTACTTCCTATATTAGATATAGTGGTACAAGTTGGGAAAAAGGCTTTATTAGCTTCCTCCATGCTTCATTGTATGAATCACGACCATTATTATTAATCACTTTGGAACATTTTTCTATCCAAGAGGGTGGTGAATCCCAGGTATGAAGTAGGAGAAAATGATGTATTATTTTGAATGATGAGAACAACTTTGCCTTTTCGTTTTTCTTTTTTTTCCTTTTAAATACACTACAAGTAATTGCAATGAAGGGCTTACCAAGAAAAGGGAGAAAGAAATAACAAACAAAATGTTTTGGATCTGATATTCTTAGAGTTGGGAAAAGAAGCTGAGGTTTGAGTTTCTAATTCTCTTCCTACAGTTGTAATTATCTTCAAATAATTCATCCAACCCAATGATGCTGCAATGAGCTGAAGCTCTAAGTATAAAATGAGTCTTGATGAATAGACGTGAAGAAGATATGGCAACTCAATGTGCATACTTTGGCATATATCATGCATTGTTTTTTTTCCCCATAAAAGAGCTGGTTTTTAGATTTAAATAATGTTGTTGTGATATATGGGTAATTTTGTCATGGATATGTTTGGGCCATTTTATGTGTTTCTTTTATATCTATGCTCTGAAAAACTCTCCTGTAGGAAACTAAAATATGAGTCATCCCCATCTTATTCTTGTAAGTATCAACAGCTTAGTCAACCTGCTTCATTGTTATCGTAAAAAGTGTAGCTGTTACCACATGCTCCACAAAGAAGCAAAGTAGCTAAATAGAGAATCCCTCTCAAGTATGGTGCAAGATATGTTAGCTGAACTAATATTTATTGGTGTAGTTCTTCACCTGTGGGTACCAAGTCTAGGCTTGAAAATCCTATATACCTTTGGCTGTTGGTTAAAACCAAGAGCCTTTACTAAATCTCCAGCAACATGGAGTTGGGAACTTATAACATGGTTGTCAAATGCTAAGATTCCCACTTATCATGTGAAGGATTCTGAGAGTCTTTTTTTACCATGTTGTATTGTTGTTATATACCCAAGTTTGTATTTATAACAACACCACCAACAAAGCCTAACCACATGGGGGTTGGCTATACATGAATTCTGTTTCATCGTTCAATTCTATGTAGGGATATATCCATGGATCATGGTAAAATTGTGAGCTCTCAATTTTTTCCCTTCACTACTTCAATTCTTATTATTTTTGCCTATGCCTAGCTCTTCTACACCCTTCAAGTTGAATTACGCCTTTTCTACTTACTAGTGCACCAAGTGCAGTATTTGGTCTTCCATGCACATATCCAAATCATTATATTCTACTTTTCCTCATCTCAGCACCTAACAGAGCAACTCCTAAATCCCATGAATGTGTTTATACCCAAGTTGTATTCCACTCTAAAAATCCCATCTAATCATGACAAATTCAAGCATTCAACTAGTTGTCTGCTATTCGTTTTGAGAATAGTAGTCTTATCATTTCTGAATTCTCCAATGTACCAATAGTTTTCATTTTCTCAAAGAATACAGTTACTGATATCATGTGAATTTACCTTTGAGTTATTGCTGGTTGACACCTAATTCAACCAAACTAAATAGTCTTATCCCAACTATTTGGGTTTGGCTACATTTTTTTTCCTGAACAGGTAGGTATTGTATTAACATCTGTCAAAAAGATTTGTACAATCACCCATGTACGCTAAGAATCTTGTATGGTGGGATATAAATGGATCATGTTTTATTATTCCACTTTGTCAAGCATCATATCCTTATGGATGCACTTGTTTCTGGTACTGTTGTTTATCCTTGTGTCATTCATCCATTTCAACATCCTCATCACCACTATGTTCAATTCTTGGATGTCTTGATTTCTTATTGCGCTGCTTCTAGAAAGCCCAAAATAAAAATATTCCAGTCCCTCTGAGAAGTTATAACTTTTTTTTTTTTTAAGAGAATGGTAACTTGTATTCAAAAAAAGAGGAGAGGGATGTACATAAGAGGTGTACAAACAGGCTAAAAAAGCACAAAAAGAAGAGCCTGTAACAAACTGAGATGACAAAGAGTTGGCACTATACAAAAAGTCCCTTCCCAGTCCTTGCTTTGCTAAAACATTTGCAGTTCTATTGATCTCCCGGGGAAGTCATAACCAAATTTGTCGCGTCATTATTTGATTTTTCTTATTTATCTTTTATGTAAAAGACATAAAAGTAAAACCATTTTCTTATTCTGAAAAATACTTTCTTTGAAGATTAGCTTGCTGATGGATCTCACAATGGTAGGAATAGCACATTAGTCAATGGTCTGTGATGACTTTTAAGGAGTTACCATGGATGAATCATTAAGAGGATGGCAGATTATACCACGGTAACAAAGTGGGGAACCAACAAAGAAGTGAGGAATGAAGAACACCTGATTTGGGAGTTTGAAATTTAACTTTGATGGTTGTAATCTTGGCAACCTGGGGGTGTCAGAATCAATAAACTTATTATTATTCATCAAAAAAAACCTGGGGGTGTCAGGTATGGGAGAAGTGATAAGAAACCAGGACAGTAATATTCTTTTCAGCTTTTCAGGCCCAATTGGGCTAGGAAACTCCCTAAAGGCAGAACTGCTATCTTTAATCAAGGCTTAAAACTGATTACTATGAATGGGTGGACTGATGTGGAGGTGGAGGGTGACTGCATAACAATAATCTCATGGATGAGGTAACCGACCAAGGAGGAAATTCCATGAGTTATAGACCTTTGGTGAGACAAGCTAGTCTCTAGGCAGAAATTTGAATAGCTCATATAAATGGGTGCCTAGGGCTGCAAATGTATTGGCTGATACTTTAGCAAAAACAATGCTGTGAGGGAAAATCTAGTATGGGGATTACTAGGGCCGGGAGTGAACTTGTAAAATCTTGTTTTGGTTTTTAAATTTTAGCCACAGCTGGCTTTGTATCCTGCATCCTGATACACGGATTTCGGGTAGTCAAGAATTTTTGAATGAATATAAATATTTATTTCTGTTATTTTTAAAAAAAAAATCCTTAGTCTGAAAATCTTGGAAAATTATCTTAATACTCCATATACAAATCATTTATTGGGTGGCATTTTTCTTTTCAAATCTAGTGAAAGTACACCATACAAAGTGCTAATGCAATCTGTAATTGAAAGTTCCTTCTTTGGGGTAGGTCTTATTCTTTCTTTGCCACGAAGTTGCAATTATAGAATCCTGATTTAGGTTTTATATGTGCCAGAAGAAGAAAAGGGGAAATTGAGTGTGTTATCCTACATATCCAGAACTGGCCCTGAGAAATACATATAATACCGAGAACATGTGAATGATATAAATATCCATATTACCTCAATAGCAACAAATAAAAAAGTATTCTTGGACTTGGAAGAGAAGGAGAGATTGAATGGTATTGAAGGAGCATTGTTTGAGCCTGACAAAGGGTCTAAAGGAAGGACTAAGGAGAGTGCTTTCAGTAAGAGGTTGGGAGGAAGGGTGGATCTTATAGAAGCTTTTGGGGTGTTCTGATGGTTAATGGGTGGGAAAGTGCAGTTTATTTTGTTAAAATTTAAAAGATTTGTAAGTTGGTGGTGATTTCATATTGGCATCGAGTCAAGGGTGTATTATGATTTTGTGAGATGATTTTTTGTCTTTGATCATGGATTGGCAGTGGTCTTTGGGATTTCTTTTTATATTTTATTAGTATTTTCTGGTTGTCATCTTTGGGATTTGAGTCTTGCATAATGCATAGTAGTGCTGGGGTGTGGTTTCGGTTTGGAGTTGGATGTTATTATATTGGGGTTTGCTTTGTGATGCCTATCACCTGAGATTTTCATTAATGACTAAAGGAATTAGATACAACAAGAAGTTGTGAGCAATTAGCATGCCCAAAATAAGGCAAGCCACCCAACCCTTGTTACAATTGTGCCCTATACATGTGTTGTCTTTGAACCCCTTGCTTAGCTAAACCATCTGCCAAACTGTTGGCAGATCTTCTAACCCAACGAACTTGCAAGTTTATGTCTTTTGACAGCCACTTAAAGTGCCTGTATTCATTCCTAAGCTGCCAAGTCACCCCCTCACCTTTGTCCAACTATCCCACAAGATTGTATCTCTCTTCTGTTCTTTCTTTTTATAAACTTTTTATTTACTATAAAACATAATGGATTTAAGGGGTAAACTAAACTTCGATGGTAGCAGCGAAGGAAATCCAGGCCCATCATTCTGGTTCTATTGGATGGTGATTCTAAGCTAGCTATCAGTTGGCTACAGAAGGATGAATTCAGTTTGTGGAAGTATCTAAATGAGAAAAAGAAAGTTAAACAGTTTACTCAAAACATGGAAATCAAGTTTCAGTGGACTAAGAGGACTAGAGGAGTGCCAATTCACTGGCCAAACAAGGGGCGGGAAGAGTCAATCTATTCTGGGCAATATTGTAAATTGAAATGTACCTTTAGGGAGGGTCAAAAGGTTTTACCCGTCCTCTTGTATCTTTTTCTCTTAATATCTCTTAATGAAAGTTTCTGTTAATTATTAAAAAAAAAAACATAATGGATTTAAGCTTTTCTTCTCCATAAAATGGAAAAAGAAAGCAAAAAATGGGGAATGCTATGATATTATTGATTTGACTAATGGTGCAGGCTTCTCTTGGTTTCCCATAAGGTTGACTTTATTGATTGGTTCCTTGTTTTGAAAATGTTTAATACTGTGAGCAAAGACTCTTTTGTAGATAAGTTTTGGGTCTTGGTGGTGATGATATGTAAAAGATGTCATATATTTTGTATACTCTTGTACATCTCTAATACTTTATTTTATAGAGAACTTCTCCATTAAAAGAAAAGAAAGGAAATGAAAAGAGAAATCATGTCTTTGCTTAACAACTTCATTTTACTCTTCAGTCCTTTCCTTCAAATGTGTTATGTTTCCTTCACACCATTTCTTAAGGAATTCAGTTTGTTATTGATATGTTTATTATCGGTGGAAGATACTCTCTCATTATTCTTGGTCAACAGATTTTCTTGTAGTTCAAATATGTTTTCTTTTTTCTGTAACATTTCCGTGTTTACAGCCATTTTATGATGAATATCTTGTTCTTGTACTTTTTTTTTAAGAAAGTAACGATTTTTGGGCAGGGCCTTCTTTCTTCTGTATACCATGATGAACATCTTGTTAGCATCTTACTGGGGGCATACAGTGTCCATATATTCAACAATTCTATTTGAAGCTTTATTATTAACTTTAGAAGTTGATTTTCATCTGTCATAACTAGTGCCCAAAGCATACTGAACTTTGACACAATACATTGCATAAATATGTAATAGATGAGTTCAAATAAATGCAGAGGATACAATATGCTAGGACAAAATCTGATATTATAGCGAAGGCTGATGGTACCTTTGTTCCTCGAGAAAGACGGAAGAGGCATGATGAAAGAGGTACCGTGGTTCATTTTGTTATATGTCCTACTTCAGCTCAATCTTTTCTATTTCAAAATGTTATCTGCTGCACACCCAAATCTTGATGCCTTAAGTCGTGTATAATCTGTTAATCTCCATTAATAGACAAGGTAGTATTTTGCCCAAATTTATATAGTATGTAATTGGATTGAATCCAGATCTAGGTAGATATAACTCATTGACAGCACCTAATGGGCATACAGATAGAGACCTATGGGATAACCACATGTTCAATTCCAGAGTCCATATCAGCCCTATACGTGGTTGACATGTGAAGATTCCTGGGTCATCTAGGGAAGCTCATTAAACAACCTGACTAGCCAACCTGTCTCGGCACATATATTTTTCAAAATGAATAATCTTTTAGAATACTGCCCAAGTAATCTTTGATGGTCATATTTTGCTGAAATATATAAAATGAGTCAATAACCCAGAAGATTAAAATGATTAAAGCATCCTTTCTATGCATGGGCTCTCTTGTACATGCTCTTAGTACTTTCTGAGTGATACAATTATACTGTACCTTCTTAAAATAAAAAAAAAATTAAATAAGCTTTGCAGCTAACCCTTCAATTTCATTTCTATATGGTAATTTTGTTGGCTTTAGGCACATAGGCATAATAACAAACCATAACGTTTGTACACTTGAACTTATCCAAATTTAGTAAGTAACCTTCTTCCCCCTTTCCAGATGAAATATGTCCATGTTGCTTTCGTGATCCTTCACTAATTCAAAACCAGGATACAGCAATGCAACAGAACTTTTGATAATGTTGTTTCCTATTTTCTCCATTCTGTGAATTTTGTTATGCAAAATCTATCCATCTTAGGTTGTTTATAAATTGATTTCCTATATAGTATTTTCACTATTTTGATTATTGAGACCTTTATGAAGATGTAGTTCTTCCTCTATGCAGCTGAGAGAAAGCGAAAAGAACAACATGATGCTAATCAAGCTGGATTGGGTCTAAATTCTGCATACACTGGTGCTTATGGTGCTGCACCCCCTGTAAGCATGTCTCGAATACACCTCTCTTTCAGTTTTCTTTTTGTTTGAGGCTTACTTGTCAAACATCAATGTTGAAGTTTAACCTAGTAAGACATTCCATACAACATGGATGGACAAGTATGCCCCTGCTTAGGTGGTTGTAAGATACATAAACATAAACATAAGAGAACAATACAAGCCCATGCCACAATCCTGACTAATAAAAACAAGTACATAGTAAAAATAAAAACAATCCCAAGCCCATATAGTTAAGTCCCACAACACTCGCCCTCAAGCTTAGGCTGAGCATAGGTATCTGTCATGCCCAGCTTGCACAGAACCTCTTGAAATCTCAATCTAGTGAGCCCCTTGGTAAACACATCTGCTAGCTATTTTGCAGAACGCATGTAAAGAATACAAAGGTCTCCAGAGACAATCTGTTCCCTCACAAAGTGTCTATCAATTTCAATATTGTTCTATCATGCTGAACAAGATTAATTGCAACTTGATTGTCACAATATAACTTCAAAGGTCCAATCATATGTGTCCCTAATTCATCCAAGAGAATTTTGAGCCAAAGTAATTCAGCAACTTCATGAGCCATGGCCCTATACTCAACTTCAACACTTGATCTAGCCACTACAGTTTGTTTCTTGCTTTTCCAAGTGACTAGATTTTCTCCTACAAGTGCACAGTATCCTAGTGTAGATCTCCATCACCATGAGAACCTACCCAATCAGCATCAATATAAGCCTCTAAATCAACTTTATTGTGTTTCTTGAACAATAACCCCTTTCCAGGACAGGTCTTGAGATACCTCAAGATCCTTTCAATTACCTTCATATGTGTGACCTGAGGAGCTTGCATGAACTGACTGACTGACCACATGGACTAAATAGGCAATGTTAAGTCTGGTGAGGGATAAATAATGTAGTTTACCAACAAGTCTTTGATATCTCTCTTTGTCAAGATATAATCCTCCATCACCTTCTTGTAGACAATGATTATCCTCAATAAGAGTGCTGCAAGTCTTGTCCGCAGCTTCTTTGTCTCCTTCAGCAACTCCAAGCGTATTTCCTCTGACAGATTAAATTCCTTGATTAGATCTAGCAACTTCAATTCCTAGAAAATATCTTAGAGATCCTATATCATTGATCTCAAATTCTTTGTCTAAGAAGCATTTCAACTTCTGAATCTCACTCGGGTCATTTCCAGTGACCACCATATCATCAACATACATAATCAATGTTGTTAGCTTTTCTCCATTTTTTTCTTGTAAAATAATGTGTGGCCAACACTGCTTTGTTGGTATCCAACTACCTTGCACACTTTTCCTCTCATGTCATTACCTTGGAGGCGGATCCATGTAAACTTATTCTTGCAAGTCTCCATTCATAAAGTCATTTTTGTCATCCAATTGATGTAGTTTTGAGAACTTTGCAGCCAGCCAGAGTAACACCCGAATGGTATTCAATTTAGCAATTAGAGCAAATTTCTCTTTATAATCAACACCCTCCTTTTGGGTGACACCTTTTTGCAACTAGTCTAGCCTTGTACCTCTCAATAGATCCATCAGCCTTATTTTTTAAAATATAGACCCATTTGCACCCCACAGTGTTTGACTCTTATTCCTTTTTTCCTGTTTATTGGTAATTGTGGATGGTGCACTATTTCCTTCCCGAGGCCATTGATTTTGTCTGGCTTTAGGTCACATTCTCTTGAAGTAACTAAATGACTTGGGAATGTGCATGGTTGGTGATCTGAAATGTTGGATTTTTATTTTTTTTTATGCAAAATGAATTTTACCTCAATAAAGGATCCTGAAAACTGGATTATGATGATTACTGTGCATGAAAGAACTGAAAAAGTTTATTGCAATTGGAGGAATCATTTGAATCCTTGCTGATGCAAAGTATTGCTTTTCTGCCACTCTTGTCTACTTATACAGATGTCACATATTATTGGCTTAATGGCTTTTATGCGTTGGAGTAAATCCCACAAGAACCAAGTTGCTCTAATTTCCTATTTTATATGACAGGAATGACGAGGCACTGGGATCTGATTTGGTTACCTCTTTTATGATCTAAAGATCTAAAGAATTATTTGTTTTCTTGCTGATGCTTATTATAGTACTTATAAATTAGCTATACAATTGAACTTTGCTTGAAGACTTAAACCTTTCTTTTTTCTTGTTTAATTGCGAAGCAGCTATCACAATTACCATATTTAGGTGGGGCGAAGACCATGGTTCCAGAGGCCCCAGCTCCACCAAATAACATATTGTTCGTTCAAAATCTCCCACATGAGACAACTCCAATGATGCTGCAAATGCTGTTCTGCCAGTACCCTGGTTTTAAAGAAGTTAGAATGGTGGAGGCGAAGCCTGGGATTGCTTTTGTGGAGTATGGGGATGAAATGCAATCAACAGTTGCAATGCAAGGACTACAGGGTTTTAAGATTACCCAGCAGAACCCAATGCTGATTACATATGCAAAGAAATAAATACTAGTATTGGGATATTTCTTGTTGTCCTGGCTGTATTCTGCATCCACAGGAATAGACTGTTTCAATGGTCTTCTTGTCCTGACAGCAAGTGATGCTACAACTGCCTTTTCAATATGTTGTTATCATATACTTTGCACAGAATCGTGGAGAATGGATATATGTCCCTTGTGTAGGCCCTAGGGTGGTCTACCGTTTACATGCCTGGTAGTTTTTGATTGGACCTTGTGTTGGAGGACCCAGTAAACAAACCAAGATGGCAAGGCTGTTTTAGTCCATGGGGAATTGGGGATGAGTCCTACTAATGACTAAGGTAGGTCAACTGTTGGTCTTTTCTGTGTTTCTTTTGACTATTACATAACTACGTAAGGCAATTAGATCATTTTAATTACTAGATTATCCTGATTGCTGGTTTGTGCATTCTAATTTGGCATTGGCAAAATCGATTCCTGAGTTACCATTGATTTGAACTTTGAAGTGCAAATTCATTTGCACTAGCATAAATGAGAAGAGTGCAGATTTTGATTAATTTTTTCTGTAGGTTTTACGTTGCTCCAGGTTTTACTTCAGGCTTAGTTTGGAAGGAGTACAAATACAAATATGTACAGTACAAATCTATACAAAATAATATAAAATATAAAGTTTTGTACTCTACATATTTGTATTTGTATTCCTTCCAAATGGAGTCTCATTTGCAATGCAAACAAAACAAAAATAAACCAGAATTTGCTCTCAACTCATTTGCACTCTCATACGTCTGTCCCCGTGTAAATGAATTTGCACTGCAAACAAACCAAACCTGTGCGATAAAGTGGAGACTGGTTTAGAAAACTGTGCGATAATTTGGAAGACCCTATTCTTCCAAATTCAAATATATCTCAATGAATTTGGATTTCTCCATGGATCTGTGCCACCTACCAACCCCCAGGAAAAAGGGAAAAAAAGAAAAAATGATTTTCAAACTTTAGTATACGACACAACCATAGGCTTCTTTGTAGGTATCAATAATCAATGTATCATGTGAAATCAATTGATCTCGTGTTTTCTTTAATACTTGAGAATCAATAGGAATTCACCATCAAAAAGTCTAAAATAGATCTTACATAAGAGGTCGGAACAAATCATACCAAATTTCGGCGATACTGTTGTGGGTTCCATTGTTCCAATGCAGTGCAAAGCAATAGTAAATAATATGATTAGTGTATTATTTGCCATCTAATTGCAATTGAGGAAGCGAAGAACTGGAACGGATCCAACAAGAATACCGATACAGGCAACAGCACGAGCCACGATGTCCAAAGAAGAACTTCAGCGGTGCAACACTGCAACATACCTATTAGCACTTTTGGAAGGAGTACAAATGCAAATATGTAAAGTGCAAAACCTTATATTTTGTATCATATTGCATATTTGCATTTATAATCTTCCCAAACAGCAGGACAACCCACCCAATTGGATTTCTCAAATTCCACTGACACGATCGGAAAGTCGCATTCTAAGTGATCTGTACTTGTAGAACAACTACCCTTGACGTGCAGCAAGGGTGACATTGGACGCAGAAAATTGGAAAAAGAAAAGAAAATAAAATATTAATACAGTATTCCATGGGAACTTGAAATTTGAACACGCGGGTTGCTGCCCCGTTAACAACCGATGTTGCCATTGGCTGTGCAGAAGACAGATCCCCTGGATGCGGATAAGCCCTAGAAGCCCCCCCCAACCCCAAGTTTTCCAAGCTGAGCTCCAACCTCCGAGGCTGCAAGCCGCAACCAAACTGAAACAAAAACAAGGGTTCAATAGTAGTGTTACTTTAAGGTTGAAGGCAGATAATGCAAATATGTACAGGTTATTTAATAGGGGAAGGACCAAGCCGTGTTTGTGTTGCCACAGTTCTTTTTCTCTGCTTCAGCAGAGAGAGAGAGAGAGAGAGAGAGGGGTGGAAAGCATTCGGATGTTGAGCATGGTTTGGTGCCATATGGCACACATTTTCCTCCCTTGATAAAAACCTAAAGCGAATAACAGATGGCATTTACAAACATGCCTAATCATGTATAAACAGAATATTTTCCGGCTTTAGAAGGCCAATACAGGTAATCTAAAGTTAACAGATGAAAATGTGTTGAAATACAAGGTAGACCTTTATCTTCCACCCCCCTTCCTGTTCCATTGATTGACAGAAGACTGCTGGTTCATCTTAGCTTCCAGTCTCTTTGCAGTGCGTAGAATAGCTGCTTGCTTTTGCCGGTGGCTATAGCTCTTCCTTTTGCTGCACAGACCATGAAAGATTATTAAGCAAGTATCCTAACCAGATATATTGGAGAACATAAAACAATAAAGTTTTGTCCTTATTTTCTACATCGAGGATCATCTTGGGTATAGAACTACTATAGATGCACACAACGTTTAAATTATTGGCACAACACCCGGTACAGGCCAAATAGTATATCCATTTCCATAGAGACTGGCATGTGGCATGGGTGGAATGGGGTAAACTTTCATTCCAAACATGCCCATCAGTATCATCCATATTGTTCCGTATCCAACCTGTGACAACTTGTTGTTGATCTGCAAAAACACTTGAGGTCAAGGTTCAAAATATCTATACACCCGATACGCCGGTATAGGCGTGTATTGATAGCTTACTTTTTAGTCTTTTTTTTCAAATCTGATTTAGAGGGAGTGGTTTAAGGTCCAACCGGTTGAGACCTTGAAACGCCCCCTGTGGGGGCATATCAGGAAGCCCCCAATACAATATGTATCGGCCGATACATATCAAAATTCTGAATCTTGCTTGAGGTCTTCCGCATGTTTTTCATTTAATCCTTCAAGATTTAGTAGGTCTACATATCAGTATTTGAAATGCAAGGACATATTGATTATTGTTGGATCTGTGATGTTTTTGCTTGCTTGTAATTAGTAGATCCATGGATCTTTCACCCCCCACCCCCCAAAATGGGAAAATCCAAAATTTATAAATAATTTATTTTAAATGATTTTGATGGTAAGAAAGAACTATAAGATTGGTTTATAAATAATCTATCAAATCTATTGATCCATCAACAATGTATGTCAAGAAAATGATTTTTTTATTTTTTGGTAATTTACATAAGTACAAATAATATAAAAACAGAATAATTGTTTTAGCAATTAAAACTTATAAATTGCAAATGTATCTTAGAAACTCTACTGGTCTAATAAAATTTTAAATTATGATTTTTTTTAAATTATTAATTAAAATTTTATCTAACTTAAATAATTTTCAAGAAGTTATATTTAGCTATTTAGCTAACATATTAACATGAAGTCCACTTATTTTTTTGATGATTCACAAAAGTAAAATAATAAAAATAAAAAACTTGATTTAATAATTGATTAGAGATCACCCGAGAGTGAGAGAGAGAGAGAGAATCCAAACCGTCCAACCCTTCCTAGCACAAGCACACACAATCCAGAAAAGAAACAAAAGAACACACCACTCTCCACCCTTTAAAAAAAAAAAAAAAAACACACACACACACAATCATACAGACTAACCCAATGCAAATTGCTTCAAGAAAACACCCAATCCAAAGAAACAAGGTTGGACCTCACCGGAAATTTATATTGTTTGATAGATGCTTCAATTTGAATCATAGCATTCATTTCCTAAATTGTAATACTTCGACTAAGTGCAAAGCACACACAAGAATATATCAACATGCTAAGTAACCAACATAAACCAGCAGGCACAAGGATTTCAAATAAAAGGTGATGGTTTGATAAATAGAGCTGAGGAAATTATGCCTAACTTTCTGAGCACTGTAGTCTACCTTATAAACAGAAGCCCTGTTGTAAGCACCATGCCTCCCACTGCCCATGAAACTCTTTTACTAAATGGCATTTCCCTTACCCACTGCTGAAAATCTTCAAGTACCCCTGAGTTTTCATTTTTCTGGGGCACCTGAGATTGTGAAGTCTTCCATGAATCAGCAATAGAGTCCAAACTGGCCTTTCCTCCATAGCAAGAAGGCTGCTCAGTGCTCTGATAGCTATCTTCAGATGGTTTAACAGCAAAACCTGCAAGGCGACAGAGCTCTGTACCATTAGGGGCCCATTCAGAAGCTCTTCCACAAATAAATTCACTTAATCCGCATGGAGACAGAACCTGACATTGGAAGAATAACATCTAATCAGAATATTGAATTCACAAATAAGTATACAAGTCCTAGTACCAACAGGTTAAACCCTAAATACAGATGTGAACACTGTAAAAAGTAAGTCAACCAGATGACTGGAACTATTCATTCTCAACCATCCAAAAAACTTCTCATAGCAGTCCAAACAAAAGATTCCACATAGATGATTACAATCATTTTTAGAGCCTATTTTCCATTCATCTTAAATGCAACTTTTCACCCTTGTATTCTATCCCTAACTTGCTACAACTGGCATACAATTCAATATGGCATATTTTTATATGGAAGTGCAATCATAGACATTGATATACCCATGTAGTTCCAATTTTAAAGTTTCTAGGTAACACGCATGCTTGTTATATGCACTTATTATCAAAATCTCCAAATGGATACTTTACACTTCCTAACCTACAATTAGACCACCCACCAACCTGGGTCTTTACATCCATAGAGAAGTAGGCATTAGAGCAAGCCTGAAAGACTCTATCACAAAGAGAGGCACATATAAGAGGAGGTCCAGGCTGGACACCAACACGTGGATCACAAATAGAACACTCCAACAACTCCCATAATTGCAAACACTCTTGGTTGGCTTCCCCTGTAGAAGCCAGTCTTCTAATTGAAAGCAAAGCCGGATGTGTCTGGGCTACATCACAACATGTTTTTCTACGGAATACCCGGCAGAGGGTCAAGTCTTTCGGACCCTTGGTTGCTTTTCTTGGAGCACTCCCTTCAGATGAGAATGGAGGGAATCGACCACCTTGGGAAATGCACACTCCATCAGGTTTTCCTGCATTCCAAAAAATTCAAAGAAATTTCTAATTAGAAATATTACATCGATTGGAATTCACTACGAAAAATTGAAACCAACATGAGCTCTCACAGAGCTATTTAGGATTTCTTGAGACGCTAAGAGGTGTTCAAACATGCATGCATACATGAAAATAGATGTATGGCTAACAAACTAAATTGGAAAAAAATGCAATGCAGATGACTGATTGTTTAGTAAGATTTGGGTAGTGTGTAATCAGCAGCATGTAGGGGTGTCAATTGGACTGGATTTGGTCCAATCCGATCCAGTCCAATGTAAGTCCATTATAAATGAACCAGGTCCAATCCAAACCTATGAATGTTTTGAACCAATTTGGACCGGTCCAATTCAATGTCTGGACCATCCAATCTGTTCAAATTCATTTTGATTTAGATTGGTTTCAACCCAAACCCAGTCCATTGACACAGATATTCTTATCTTATATCAATGGACCAATTATTGGCTTAATCCAACCCAATCCAATATAAATTTGTTACGGATGGACCAGGTCTAATCCAACCTAATAAATATCTTGGACCGGATTGGTCCAATCCAATATGTCTTGTTGGTCCGTCCAATCCATTCAAATTGACTTTGGACTGGATGGGATTCAAAATCAATTTGGTGCTGTTATTCTTATCTTAGTTGCATGCAACTAGCCACGTGCTTTCATTGCAGGATTTGGTGCTGTTATTTATTATTGTAAAAGTAATTTATTTGGAGCATTTTTGAATTTTGAAAATACATTTCTGTGATTACATTATTATTGCCAATGTAGGTGCTTTCTGACTTGGCCGGCAGATGGCATGTGAGCTTATTCTAGATCAGATTTGTCACTAAGAGTGGTCCAACAA